AATATTCCTATAGAATTAAATAGCTCCAAAAATAAACTACTAGATACTACTCTTAACGGTAAGTCAAAGTAGGTTTTAAAAATTTCGCCTACTTTATATTTAGAAAATATCATTTGCACTATTGCTGGGACTAAGCAAATAGAGACTACTGTAGACTGTTAGTTTAAGCTACATAATATGTTTATATCTCCAAACTTTATATTTTTCTTTTTAGATTTGCAAGAAAAAAATACCCTATCATCCTCAGATTCGTCATCGGATTCATCGTCAGATTCTGAATCATCTTCATGCCTTGATTCCAGATCTCGTTGTTCCGAAGTTTCTAGAAATGAACCTTTTTCTGAAGATGATAGCGTTAAGGATCCTAATTTTGATTCGTCAATTGATAGTAGCTCTTCGGAACGTGAAGAAGACAAGCTACAGTTACCTAAATCTAAAAAAAGAAAAGTAGAAAATCGCCAATCTGAAAACATTAAACCAACTAGAAAGAGAATTACAAATCCGGATACGTGGAAAAAAGTAGTAAACAAAAAGCTGCGAAATAGTGGCCAAGAGTATACTTATACGCGTGTGATTCAATCGGAAGATGGCAAAACCGTAAAAAGCAAAGTAACTAAGGAAAAGAGATCCCTCTTGCCACCTTGTGGCTTAAAATGCAAGTTAAAATGTTCAGAAAAAATATTGCCGGGTCAGCGAGAAAAATTTTTTAACGACTATTGGAATATGCAAGATATTGAAAAGCAAAGAGAATTTATATTATCCAATACGAAAACTGTAACACCGCGTTATAAATACACGAATGCACAGAATCCCAGAAAACCGAATAACGCCTACTTTTTTTTAATTAATGATAAAGCAATTCGTGTTTGCAAACTTTTTTTCATGGCTACCTTAGCAATTAACCATAAAGTCATTAGTACAGTTTTAAGGAAGCTGAATTTATGTGACAGCGGCAGGGTATTGGAAAAGGACAAAAGAGGAAGACATGGGAATCACCATAAAATTAGTGAAAATGTAAAAAATAATGTAAGGAATCACATCAACAGTATCCCACGCATTGAAAGCCATTACTGTAGGGCCAACACCAGTAAGGAATATATCGATGGAAGTAAAACGATTGCAGACTTGCACAGGGATTATACCAAACAATGTAATGAGCAGAACCTTCCCTGTGCTAACTATGTCATGTATAGTAAAATATTCAATGAAGAATTTAATTTGGCTTTACATTTACCCAAAAAAGATCAGTGTGAAGAATGTGTACAATATAGAAATTGTAATGATGAGCACAAACAGGATATGGAAGAAAAATATAAAAAACATATAAAAGAGAAGGATTTAAGTAGGAAAGAAAAGGAAAAAGATAAGAACAGTGATGACAAAACTAAAGTAGTGGTATTTGATTTGCAGGCAGTGTTGCCGTGTCCGATCGGAGACGCTTCGTGTTTTTATTACGTGTCCAAACTTAACGTATTAAACTTTACTTTATACGATATAAAATGCAACAAGGGCTCATGTTTTATGTGGCATGAAGGGGAGGCTAATAGAGGTGCCAATGAAATTGGTACATGCATTTTAACCTATCTTCAAGATTTAGCCCAACAAAATAAGGATGAACTTGACATTATATTTTATTCCGATAATTGTGTTGGGCAAAATAAAAATAGGTTCATAATAGCTATGTTTATCTACGCAATCTCTCATTTTAACATTAACTCTATAACGCACAAATTTTTTATACCTGGCCACTCACAAAATGAAGGGGATAGCATGCATGCTCTAATAGAGAAGGAGATTAAAAAATTTAGAAAATCCGGCCCTATATTTTCTCCAGATCAATATGCCTGCATAATTAGGAATTCAAAAAAGAAAGGTACAGCGTATAAACTAAAGGAATTATGTCACACTGACATTTACGATCTTAAAGCTTTAACATCGGAACTATTTGTAAACCTACCTAATAATGTAAAGCTGAATAATATCAAAATGTATAAGTTGGAAAAAAATCACCCTGGGATCTTTTTTTACAAAACCTCCTTTGAACAATCGGATTACAATGAGGTACAAATTATAAATTCAAGAAAACAAATTGATGTTAATAAAATCGAGCTCAAGAAAGCATTTTCTGTAAAACCTGGTATAACCGATGCAAAAAAACAGGGATTGTTATCGTTAATTGAAAAAAAAACATTGCGTACCCCCTTATTATATTAATTTTTACAAAAATTTGTGAACTATTTTTATGTTAATGAAAAATTCCTTTTGTTTCGAGCGTTAGTCTGTTTATTTGTACGAATAGTTGTAAGTAAATTATGTATGATAATACTAAAATAAATATTTCGTTGATCTCAAACTATTTTTTTTTGCTTTTATGGTTTAATGTCAGACGGTTCCATAATTTGTCTACGATGCAACCACAAATTAGAAAAAAAAGAACCGTTATTTTATGGGAAAGAGAGTTACATCTTTCAAACTCTCCCTAGCTTTAATTTTCTGGAAATATGTATATACATCATCTTAAAGTACTTATAAAATCTTAACTACAAAATGAAAATGGTAACTTGACACTCTGTAATTTAAATGAAATAAATATTTTTATTTCACATAAAACTTAAACTGGCTCTCCTGAAAAATATTGTTTTTTGAGATGTAACCCTCTTCCTCCGGATGAACGATATAAATTAATTTGGGTTCATTTGATTTTTGGATTAAACACAGCATGAGCTGTTTGATCCAAGATGTACCGTATGGTCTTTTGAATTAAAGCACACTGCAATGAAATGTAGTGAACTATAACTTAAATTGGGGTCGATTAAACTACACAATTTTACGCAAAGCTGCGTATTACGAGCTCCGCGATTCGTCTTGTTTACCTTCACCTATATCTATTTATACTTAACTATAGAGGTTGGTCCTAAGTAACTGTACAAGAAGAAACAGTAGATTCTACACTCTAAAATATTACGTTTTGAGCCAACTTGATTTAATAAAATGGTGATATTAAGAAAGATACAGGGTGTTAGTTGAAATTTAAAATTTAATTTTTCTCTATAACTTTCATGTTTGTAAACATTTATGTATAAAAATTTACAACTGGATAGTTTTAAATATGAGAAATTATAATTTGATGCATACTTTGATGTAGATGATAGTGGATGTTACATATGTGTCAAATTATGGCTGCTGGGACATAGACCATAGCAAATCCTAAGAAATCCAAATCAGCAACACCCGATGATAAAAAGAGACTTCGGGAGAATGCCATCACCCCCTCGTAACAGAGTTGCTAAGAAACAAAGGTACTCTAACGAGCAGACTAGATCAACATCAGACAACTAGATCAGGCTCAAGCAAATTTGATCATTAACAAACTGGAGCACGCACTTGATGAGGCTCATATCTGAGGTCAAAATGAACTTCTGCAATTCCATAAAAGATCGTTTCGTGAAGGGACCCTGTGGGTGAACTGTGTTAACGAGTATACAAAAAAATGGACGACTGAAGTAGTAAAGACTATTGAGGGCCTGTGGGAGGGAATAAACTTAAATATAATTGTTCCAAATAATATGCCCAAGTGCCCCATGGTAGATACGTCTGTAACACCTCGAATAACACCACATCTCGAAGAAGTTTCAGGAACTGTTCAGGTCTTCACTCTTTATCCTAACGTAGAAAATACAATGTATCTGATGATAAAGATTTGCGTTTCGAGTGATAAATGGTGAAAAGAGACTTCATCTTTAGGAGCGCTGATCTTGCTTTACCTATATGTTGTTTTATTTCAGTAGAGTGGTCTCATTGGCTGTTTATGTTAAATATACTTTGGTTAACAACAAAGTTGGTTGCGAGTGTTTATGGGATTCTTGTAGACACGCTATTTCATTTTGTTCTATACTCCCAAATCGAGAGGAATAAAATCTGGGCTGCGTGGGGGCTAAGGAAAATGACTACCATGACCAATCCAGCATTCAGGAAAGTTGGTATTTAAGTATGTTCTCATTGCTCTCATATAATATGGGGTGCACCATAATTTTGGTTTGATGTAACTTGGTGTGTTATTTAGATAATTAATATGTTAACCTACCCGAAAGGCTCGGATAGATCGGTCGTATCGACGACGAGTTAAGCAAAGGAATGTGGACTACACACTCGGTATGTGGAACATCCTGACATTAAATAAACCAGGAGCACAGGTATTACTACTTAACGAGTTCAGAAAATATAAAATAGAACTAACAGCTATATAAGAGACTAAATGGCTAGTGCACAGAGGTAAAGATACAAAAACGCATATATAGCGAAAAAAGAGTTTGGAGTAGCCTGTAGTAGTCTTCATAGTTGACAATAAAATGAAACATGCCATATTAGATTTTAAAGCAGTGAATGAGAAAATATGTAAACTAAGAATAAAAGCAAAATTCTTTAACTTCTCAATCATTAACATACATTGTCCAACAGAAGAACAGATATATGCCCATAGAAATAAAAGAAGATTTTTACGAACAGCTAGAAGAAGTATACGACAGCTCACTGAGAAATGACATCATGATCGTACTAGGAGATATGAATGCTCAAATAGACAAAGGACTTTTTCTTGGGAACCATTGGTAAATATTTACTCCATCCTGAGTGAAATATCGGCGTGGTACCAGCATGGTTGGAGGCATAGTTTGGAGAAGGCCAAGTTCGATTTGGGCTGTAGCGCCATTGGAGAGAGAATATCTTAACCGTTGATTAAACTATGTTTATTATTTTAGGGGGAGATATTATGCTATAGCGCAGTTCAATGATTGCCCCACGATTTCCCCCACTTTTTTGTGTTTTGTAGTATACATTTATAGTGTGGCATATCAATAACGAAATATAAACGTAGTTACAAATAAAATATTGTATTTTTTCTTAATTATTTCAGAATTATAAATAAAGGTGTAATATGTATACCACAGATTCAAATGCAAACTCTGGCAAAAATATACTTTATACTAACATTTTATTTTCAGATTACAGTACAGCAGTTTAAAGTCAAGATAGCAGAAACTGTGAACATTCCTGCTGAGACTCAGCGTATAATTTACTGTGGCAGAGTTTTGCAAGACAACTCAAAATTAGCTGATTATGGTAATTATGATATTAATATGTAATAATATAGGTATATAAATATAAGTAACTTATTAACGAGCTTATTTCTCGCAAATTTAAAGAGAAAGTAGGATTCAAACAATTTTATTTCAGCTACATCTGGATATTAATATAATCCACAAGGAAAATAATTCCTGTAGCTGGCTGTATACCACGTATCACAAAAAAAGAGGTTAGTCTTCGTAAGTGGGTATATTTATTTATAATAAAAAATAATATTTATAAATAAATATACCCACTTACAAAGACTAACCTCTTTTTTTTTTATTAATATAATATTTATGCTTATTTGTACAAAATTATCAATATTCTCAAGTATATGACTGCATCGAAGGGATATTCAAATAATTGGGAAAATACAAAGTCATACATTGTCAAACGAGTTGACAGTCAATAACTTAGGATAGAAGGATATCACTGTTCTGATGTGTGCTATATACTATTGCATGGTATGGCAGCAGTTAAATTTAGCTGACTTTGAAATAAAATTAAATGTCAAATATCTGATGATAAAGATTTTGGTACCGAGTGATGAATGGTGACTTCTGAAAATAGAGTTCTTCTTTACGAACGCTGATTTTGCTTTTCCTATGCGTTGTTTTATTTCAGTAGAGTGGTCTCGTTAGCTGTTTATGTATACTTTAGTTAACACAAATCATGACACTAATGATAACGGATAGAGAATAGAATATTGATATTATCATTACAAATATCTATCTATAAAAGGCTATGATGACAAGTCACACCGTTTGTCCAGTAAGGTAACAACATCTAGGAAAGAAATCTGAACTATCAACATTTGACATACATTTCAATCATATTTTGTTCCTGGAACGATACGGTTGATTTATTGCTAATTCATTCTACAAATTGGTAATTCAAATATTGTTAATCTTAAATTTAACATATTATTACGTATAATATAAATATAGTTATTATATGTCTTTGCGTAAGATAAACACACACTTACTATAAAAATAAAATCACGTTTAAATCAAGGTAAATAAAATTAAATAAAATTATATTAAGTTAGAATTTGAGATAATTCTATGAGATAATGAGAGAGAATAATGAATATTTTGAGACGGAAAAACACACATTGCTAAAAGGGCATTACATCAGATCTCCTTCGTTATTGGTCCGATTGAAGCGTGTGATACGTTGAATGAAAGGGAAGGATATGACGAATATATTAAGATAGAAAAAACAAACAAAGCAACTTTCAAAAGGACACTACAAAGTGTTTTCATTATTAATGAACGTGTAGTTACATTTGAGATGACACTTGGCACTATGGATAAAAATAATTTAACTAAAAGACAAATTTTTATTTATTAACTTACAGAAGGCCCCATACTGAGTACAAAATAAACATCTGATCGAATCCTAACAAGTTTTTTTATTACGGGCAAAATTACTAGTCTTTTTAAGTTTCAGAGATTTATCTTCTATTCTTATATAGGCAAATTGCCTGTATTTCTTCGACGGATATAGGCAAATTGCCTGTATTTGTTCGACGACACCTCCTAACCTAGTAGGAATATTATCATCCATATTTTCCGTAGACGACCTGTTCTTCTAGTTGACGAATGATCTTGGGCTATTCTAACTATTCCGTTCTCTGTTATATTCGACTAATATGGCTGTTTTGTTCTCTTTTTCTTCCTTGCAAATATTCATTAATGTTGTTTCTGAATTAGTTTCTGATATCATTAATCCTTGTACTGTATAGTAGTGTTATTCTAGTCCAAATATCTTTTTGTACTTGTCTGGTCTTGTTTTTCCGGTATATGCGGATTACACATTTGTTTATTTCCGCGCTTTTGTTTCCGTTTTTAAGTGCCTATTTCACTATATTCCGTCGTTAAGGTATCCCACTGTTCTACTTGCTTTTGCCATTTGTTACCTTACTTCCTCTTTAATGTTATTGTCACTCAATAAGTTTATTTCCAGATATTTAAATTTCATTATTTCGAAACCTTTGAGAAGTGAAACCGTTATTCTATTCTAGCTACGTAGAAAATGATTTTGCCTACCTCTAATTGTAGGGATTACTCAAATCCATGTCCGCTTGAAATATCAGTTAATTTGTAGCATGATTATTTTCTGGCAAATCTGATTTTGGATAATTTTACGAAATTCGTCCTGAAACGGATTACTCCCGGGACAAATTCAAATATAGCAGACTTATAGTAAATAATACATGTTGTACTTTATTTAATGAACTCAGTCCCAACTGTCTAGTAAATTGAGTAATTCATTTTGTACTATGCTGGTCAAATTTTGACTTCGACTGTAAGTTCCTATATAATTAAGCATAAATGCTCGGAGTCAATATTATTGTAACTTACAAATAAAAAATTTTTTACATTCTGTTTATCAGTATATTAAAATATTCCTAAGGTTTGGTGAATCGATTATAATAAGTTTTACTCTTTATTAATATTAGAAACTGTCATAATAATATCTCGAAATTATTTTGCACTGGTAGATGTCAACGGCAAAGTTGTACATTTGGTTCAAAGACCTCCACCTGGAACTACTCCAAGATCAAATAGTCGCTCAACTTCTCCACAACCTCAAAGGAGAGGTTTCAGAGGATTCAGAAATTTGGAGCAAGGAAATGCAATGTACTTAGGTTCAGTTGCTTTTCCAGGAAACTTTATGGAATCCCAAGGAATTGTACCACCTCCTCCAACATCCAGTTTGTCACGTAGTCGTTTAAATGTTGCAAGAAGGTAATTGTTTTAACATTTATTTTGTGTATAATTCTTAGATCCAATTTAAACGTGTTTTTAGAATGCTAAGAAGAGCTGAAACACTCATACGGTTGTTAGAAGAAAATCCATCTGGCAGGCCACAAGAACAACCTTCAGAAGAAAATCAAGAAGAAGATGAAGAAGTTACTCCAGTTATAGAAGCAAGAGTTATTGTTCCAAACAGTGTCGAACCTATCGATGACGTAATAAGTGCAGTTCAAGACACGTTAATGAATGCTGCAAACAACGGAGGGTAAGCATATATAAAACGCAATTAAAAAATACTAAAAAACAACTAAAAAAAAAAAAATAGATAAAAATTGAAGTTCAGTTCGCACCAACTTTTTAATGTAAAAAATCTAATGCGACGGGTTAGCCCAGCTGGTGCGGTAACGATGCTTCGCATTCTCTTCAACTCTCTTCGTCACTTCGGCTCAGCTCTCTGTCACTGTGTTGTGCTTGTATACCTAATCACAATATATTGGACTAACCGTAGCTCTTGCTCATGTTGCCGCTATCGCGCGATTTCAGATATCGAACTCAATTCTAAGGTATGAATTCTAAATATAGAAAGATGTCCTGCTCGGTCGATTTAAGAATCATAATTGAAACACATCCGCGACAGCGCATCTTTTTCTTTAAGATATACATGTGCGTTGTGCATAGCAACTTTTACCTTAGTTCATTAGTATATGTCGTGCATATAAAGTTTTATATTCACCCATTTTTGTTATAGAAATAGTGCTCCCTTCGAACAAACTGCTGACGACACTGCAGCAACGCCTAGCACCTCAGAAGCAACAGCAACAGGTGCTTCTCCAAGATCTTCTTCTACTGAGAATTTGACTTCTGATGCCAGACCCACGGGTAGTAGCCGATTACCAGAGTAAGTTAGCTTCAGATTGGTAAATATGCCTTTAAAAACCAGCACGAATGTCACGTTGGTTTCTATTTATAATTATAGTTTTGACACGCGATATACAATCTTACTTTACTGCTACAATTTGTTTATTTCTTACGTCAAACCCGTGACAGTTCAAACAATTTACTTTTACGATTCAAGAAATAAAAGTTGTGTAAAATATATAATTTAAGAGCTTATAAGAAGTATAAGAATATTTTATTAACAAAGAGGTTTTTCGGCCATATACATTTCAAAAAAGAAATGTATATGGTTGTAAATATAAAAACCATCGATTATTGGCCCAACTCAACACAATTATCAGCACAAAGAATGTATTTAAATATCCACTTACCCTTTATTACTGCAAAAAATGAATGGATTCGTGTCAGGAATTGAGGAAATGTGTTTTCGTCGTACCAGCAGTAAAAATGTATGTTTCGCCTTCACTCTGCGATGACTTATTGAAATTTGGCTGCGTCTTAAGAGTTGAGACGCTACTTAAGCGGAATCCCTGGGAATATCTAAAATTTCTATATCACAGCAATAAAAATCAAATCCACTTGCAAGGTGATAGCTTCAAGCGTTTTGGGGTTAAAATTAATATCTCTCCCACAAAAATCTTTAAGGTTATCAATATATAATTTATTGTTAAGTGGGTATCAAAAAGTATCAATTTTGACGTGAAAAAATTTAAAGGTATTAAAAAACCATGAAATAAGCAAACTTCAAACACAGTTCAAACAATTTACTTGTTTTAGCACGTACCTAGGCCACATACTGAGAAATAATACGTATCGATATGCCTAACTAATAGTGGAAGTAAAGTACGATGGAAAGAGTGGATTAGGAGAGGAAAGGCCTATCGTGGCTAAACAACACCCGACAATGGACAGGGCTAAATTTTGAACAGCTAATAAGACAGCCGAAGACAGAGAAGAGTTTGCAATTGTAGTAGACAACCTCTATTGACGAAAGGGCACTTTAAGAAGAAGAAACATGTACTTAGTTATTTCTCAGTGATTTTTAGGGTTTCATATGTGTATTTATTGGAGATCAAACGACAACCCTTAAAAACTATATTTCGTGTATAATAATCTGTCTAAAAATAGCACAGACACTTATCGTTTGCACTCCGCACCAATGTTCGTGGCGGTAAAACATCACCAAGCGGTCCAAGGCCGTCACAACCGTAGGGGCTATGATTTGTCACATTGCTTAATTGTTTACGATCTAATAAATAAAAAAAGGATTATAAAAAGTATAGAAAGTTTTTATTAACAAAGAAGTTTTTCGGGGCACATCTCCATCTTTAGTTCCGTAAAGGTAAGTAAAAATACAAAAGTTAAATCTGGACTGTTCAAAAAATTAATGATTTTTTAACTTACTTGAAAATCTTTTCATGAGTCACCACAAAAACAGAAAGAAGAGACCTATTTTATCCCAAGCAATTCGATGATTTCGATATCACCAACCATACCTGTTCCTTCCCACCACATATAGGTAGGTACTCAGTAAAGAACCTTGATGCAAACCAACCGTCACTGGAAAAGTTGCGGTTAACCCGACACAAGTCCCTACTTTGGTGTACGCTTCCTCATACACATCCTTCACAAGCCTTACATACTTCTCACGAACCCATTTCTCTCCCGTACATCTACGTAGCTCTTGTCTAGAAACTGTGTCATACGTTTTTTCAAGCTATAAATACCAAATGTAGCTGTCTTTTCTTCTCGCCACATTTCTCTAGGTACCCGTTGTCCTTAACATCGATATCCTCCTTAACATTCGCTCTATAGCTCTCCCCCAAATTTTTACTGTGTGCTATATTAACTGTATCCTTTGATAATTCGTAGAGTCCTGAATGTCCCCTTTATCTTTATACAGTGATACCATCACGCTCTTCCTCCATGCATTGGACATCCTTTCTTCCTCATATATTATACTCATCATTTGCTACAACACATTTACCCTCTCCTCTCCTAGAGCCTTCCAAACCTCCACAGGTATTCCATCAGGTCTTACTGGCTTATCAATCTTCATCCTATTTAAATCCTCTACAACCTCAACTCTTGTTATCTCCAGTATTATATTCTCGTTCGGAGTCCCACATAGTCTGTCCCTCCTTTGGTGTTGCCCATTTAGCAACTTTCTAAAGAACTCATACACAATCTTTTTATTTCAACATTGGATCTTAACGCCCTTCCATCCGCACTCTTAATCTGCCGCATGTGATTTCCTTTGCTTTGGCATTGCTGTATAACCTGTTCATCCCCTCGGGTATTTCCAACTCTCCATACAGATTTGCAGACGATCTTTCCGTAGCAGTAGCCACTGCGTGCTTTGCTTCCCTCTTTGTTAACTTATATGTATCCTTTCGCTCTTTTACACTTCTCATACCTCTTTCTTCTCCCTAAACTTCTGTTGCAATTTTCTTTCCACCACCAAGTCCCTAGGTTCTAGAACATTGAGAATACATATTCAGAATTTGTTAAAGAGTAAAAGATTTTATGCCTCATTCTTAAAGGGACACCCCTGTATATGTAGAATTTTATATTCTTTATTAATTTATTATTAATATTATTTATTTAGAATTTATTAGAATTAGGAGTAGAAAAGTAATTATTTATTTTGTTTATATGTTTACAGAAACTCCTCCAGAATTGGAGAACTGAGTGAACTTCTGACTATGTTGACACAGATACAAAGTAGATTCGTTCCCTTTTTGGAAAGATACCAGCAGTTCATTAGGGATGACCCAGAAGTTACAGGAGACGTAAGTTATTTTGTTGACTTTTATCATTTTTTTCTTCATCTTTTAACTGCAAACTTAATGAACTAAGTCATAAAACAAAAACTGGACATTAATAATGGTTTAATAAAAAATATTTTAATGCGAAACAGTTTATTCTACGTTAGTGTATACCTTAGTATGACAGGATAGTGTGTTTGTATTCACATCGAATCAAAATCTAATACCGTCATTATGTTTTATTTCTTTACTTCGTTTGAAGTACCAGAAATCGAATTCACTACGAATATTGGCCATGATGAACGGCATTTGGAGTGCAATTTTAGATTCCCTTGTCGATTTATTCATCAAGCTGTTTGCTTCGCAAGTTTTAGGAAGCACGGTGGCTTATATTTGAATTCGATTTCGCCAGGTAGAAATCGTATGATTTCTCTTTTTGTAATTATATAAATGTCTAAGATCCGGTTTTTCAGTGCTGGATTAACCTACTTAATTTTCGGTCACAGAAATATTTATGCTAAATCAGTTTTTCAGTGGTAGGTTAGTGCTTAAACCCATTTAATTTGACATAAGATTTTAACTTCTACTCTTTAGATGGACTAACTCGAATTTTGTGGTTACACTTGCCCATAGATACAGTCGGTATCGGATACTTTTTCTGTCTGTTATAATCTGACATTCTTCGTCAAACCAGTCATTCGTTCTTGTTCTTCTTTCTCTACCTTCTATGACTAATATTTCTTTAGCTGCGTCTTTTATGATGTCTCTGCAGTCTACCTATGCCCAATAGAAAAAAGGTTTATAGTTTGAAACTGCATAAAAAATTTAACTATACGAAGTACTGGCAAAACTTTTGCTTAAAGTAAACTGAAGAAATTTGAGCCAAAAAACAAAATCAATAAAATGTACAACTTATGCTTATCGTTTCGGTAAATCTAAACCACTTTTATTACTCTTATTTCTTGTATTTATCCTTTATCGCCAAATTAAGTAGTGGTGTGATAATTTTGTCCAGGAGTATCTATACTATTGCCTAATATTAAACGTGCATTTGTATCCATGGATATATTTGTTTTTTAATTCTAGGACGTAAGAGCAACTCAGAACATGCTGAATAGAGTTTCAGAAGTGATGCATTTACTAGGCCACGCCTATCATTCACTCAGTGATTTAATTATAAGAGTACGGACTCCGCGTCCAAGGCCTTTATTGTGTCGTCCCATTCTCATACAACACTCAGCCGTACTACAAACTGGCATTCCTATACAAGTTGAGGTAAGTGTAAAAAGTAACCTTTTGATTTAGCTTGTGTGTCGATTATACAACAGTTGATAAAAAAATCTAATGGTCGATTTAACGATTTAGGCACAGATTAATTTGACAGCTGAACGCAACTCTTCATCAAACGCAGACCCTTCGGCACCTCCGGAACCACCGACGTACACTCTTCATGCCACACCTGTCAGTGTACCAAATGCCAGACCGATACAAGTTCAACCAGGTAAACAAATAATTTCATCTAACAAACAGTTAGACTTCGTAAGTCCTAGGTTTTCATCAAACGTGACGTAGAACCGGAAGTCGATATTTGAACTCTTTGTGTAACTAGGCGTCGATTGATATACGATTTCACTAATTTTGAGTAATTTTGTAAACTTCCGATCAACAGGAAATGGCATCAAAGCCGGAACTAAATATTTGAGCTCGATTTTTCAATATACGTCGATTGATTTATCACATATACTATATCTACGACAATAATGTGGCACTTCCGATTACAAATTTTTAACCGGAAATATATATTTGTTCTCGTCTTCCTAAGGCGCGCCAAATAATATATCATCATCATCTTTGGCTCGACAATCCTCTGTGGATCTTGGCCTGCTCTAACATTCGTCGCCATTCTGTTCGGTTTTTGGCAACATGTTGCAAAACAAATAATATATCGCTTGCACTATTTCGGCGACTTTAAAAAACAATTGCTACTATGTAACCGGAAGCCCAAGGTAAAATTTCCTTTAATACCAACTTTGGGTTATAAGCTCTCTTTCGACACCTCGTTTGTCATTCTTTCTGTTTTAATAACGGAGGACTTGTGTTTACCGACATACGAACGGACAGACAGACATGGATAATTAAAGCTTTTCACATTTTAATGTAGTAAAATGGGTGAAAACAATATACAAAATCCAACTGTTTTATTTCATTATCTTGTTTATCAGCTCTAGGTACAGTTGCGGTCACAGAATAGTTTACAGGTTCACGTATCTAGGAGGCCATTTTTTAAATTTTTACTTCGTTTAAACGCACCTTTTACGTCAAAGTGACGTTGCCAGTGGTGTACTAGCTAGAATAGGTAGATTAAAATTAAAATATCAAAATATTTTACAAAATGAAAAATATAGAAAACAGTTTTTTGAATAAAATGGATTATGATCTTAATAACGAAAATAAAGAAGTCTTTTTTTTAATATGCATTTTATTTTAAATCTATTTTATATTAAATAACGATAAACAATGATAAATAATAATTAATATTTGGTGGAAGCCCCATTCTTGTCAATACAATTTTGCAGTCTTCTGTTCATAGATAGCACCAATCCCCTCATGTTATAGTTAACAAGCTCTTCCCATGCCTGCTCAATTGCTTCCCATAATTCAATTCTATTCCGTGGTCTAAGGTTTCTTTCATTTAGTTTCTTTGTTAACTCTGCCCACAAATTTTCGACGGGGTTAAGGTCTGCACTACGGGAAGGCCACGGAAGAACATTAACATCAGTTTCTTCTAGCCATTCTCGAGCAATTCTACTCGTATGCACCGGGCAATTGTCATGTTGGAAGATAAAGTCGTTGTTGGGGAATCTCTGGATCACCGATGGCAACATTGTGTGCTCAATAATATGTTTGTAATATAATCCTGTTAACTTCTCCTCTACATGATAACAAACGCCCGGGCCTTCGGCACTTATCCATCCCCATACGTTGACAGAGAATCCTCCACTATTTCTTAAATGATGCGTATACTGTTCATCATACCTATGATTTCTCGGCCTATAAACTCTTATTCGACCATTATTATACGACTGAAATACTTTTTCATCGGAAAATACAACCCTAGACCAAAAATTCTCATCGCGGTTTATAAATTCATTACAAAATTCAACTCGTCTCCTCTTGTGATCCTCAGTCAAAAAAGGTTTCCGTGCAGCTACACAATTTAGTAGTCCACTTGCTTTAATTCTTCGACGTGCAGTGCGAATACTGCCTGGAAACGCTGCCTCTTCTCTTGCCTTTTGAGCTGTGGCAAAAGGAGATTCTCTCAAATAATCTACTAACATCTCATCCTGTTGATCTGTGGAAATCTTCTGCCCTCCTGAACCGCCCAACCGTGCTATAGAGTGAAAATTATCCCATCTTTGTTTAATCTTCCATATGCACATATGACTCACGTTCAAATCAGCAGCAACTTGCCTTAGTGACCAACCTTCTTCGAGTTTGGCAATTGCTCTTGCTTTTTGCGCATAATTGAAATGTATTCTAACCATTTTGGAAGAGTTTAATATACTTTTATTTTATTGTTGAACACTCGCGAAAGCATTGACGTTTTGAAATTTTTTGACTTTGACATTTATCAAATCCGTACGACACTGCAATTTTACAGTATTACAATATAAAAAGTAAGGTGTAAACTATTCCGTGACCGCAACTGTACATATACCTAAATAATATTTATATTGACTTGTTTCGAATTTATTTGCAGAAAAATAACACATATCTAAATACACGACAAGATTTTATATGGACTTTTTTATCCTTTTACTTACAATAAAGCTTACACCATTTTTAATGGTTCACATCACTGTTTCCTGAATAGTAAAATGATATTCCATTTTTCTTGCATGTGCCACTATCTGACCATTTGATTTCGCTAATTCTCGTGATATCGATATTAAGTCTGAGAATTTCTTTTGTGGTATTATCAAGTTTACCTGTCACAGTGTTCTGGTATTCCATGTACCAACACTTAGTTTAGTCTCAGGTAAGCCGGGAAAGTAACCCTTATCTTAACACCCCCTGGTGGTCAACCACCTGCCCGGTACCGAAGGCCGTATTTTTATGTTTCCTGACATGATAAAGAACACTTACAGAACATCGGAGAAAATAATGCGAAAGATCCCCTCATTACAGTGCAGCGGCAGTAGTAGAAAGGAAGACACTTGAGGATAAATTGACCCTTACCGTCACAGCAGTATTGGTCACCGTCCGATCAACTTATGAACAGGTCTACAGGTCTTGAATAGGTCTCGAACAAGTCTTGAACATGTTCTCATCTAGTCTAACCATTTGATCTAACTTTTTGGCGTTGACAAAGTTATTTAAGAACTGTTCCAGAACTGATCATAGGTTGTCCTCAAATGTCTTCCATTCTACTGACAGTTCCACTCTCTGCTCGACAGTACTTCACCTGCTTGGTTTTGATGCAATTGCTGTCATATACCAGTTTTAGGTCCTGTTAATTGCTTTTATGAAGACTCATTATATTCGAACGACTGCGAGGCCTTAGGTGATTGTCGACCCAATGGACATGAAATAGACATAGAGCGGACATAGAATTTCTTTTACAAAAAACTCATGATGAGGTTCGAACTGTACAGAAGGTGATTTTAACGGAATCTGCTTTTGCTTTAACTCAAGACTGGTAACGATATTCTAAATAAACTCAAATATGCTATTTTTTAGCGTTATTTACGTATTTATTAACTTACATCTTAATAATTAATTGTTTAAAGCTTAATCATCACTGTATATATTTCTATTATCAGGTATGGTAGGCATGCCATTTATGCCCAACGCAGGTACGAGACTCCAGTCAATTCCCGTTGAAGTTCGAACTTCAACAACTCAACCTAGATCTCAGAATAGCACATCCGACAGTACCGCAGCACCTACTTTCGAACTTACCTACCTACGTGCTTTCACTGGCAATGAAACTCCCAGCTCTACGGCTTCTTCGGATACCGGTACTGGTACAGGTACAACAGCTAATAATACAGAAGGCCAACAAGGTGCCGGTCACAACTTTAACAATCCAAATGTAGAGTTCTTCATGGAAGTGACTCCAGAAGGTATTACAATTGATTCTTTGGAGACAGCGCTTGTTGGTTCTAATCAGGCAAATGATTGTAAGTGTTGTGCGATGTCTTGCTAATTCAAATTAAAACAACCTCAACATTGTTCCTTTCCTATTGCATCCTAATTATTAACATTGTTTGTGGCTTTTATGTGCTTATTGCAAAGAATATTCTAACTGGATTGGTATTTTGTACATTAACAGTTAGGTACTTATTGATTCTTAGTTACTAATGATTAAATTTAAAATGTACAGATCATACTATAATAATATGGTACTCGTTTAGTTGTGTGACAAAACACTTAAAGATATTGATGAATATTTTGAACATCATATGCAGCCAGATTGTCTGTTAAAATAAATGTCTCGACGGACCCCTAGACGAGAAGCGAGTGTCCTTGTATTTTCCTTCGACGTGTTCTTCTATTAATTATTCGTCTATTTCGTTTTAGGGATATCGCTGTGCATTTGTCTGAGAGAAATAATCTGTACTTATGTGTATCTATTTTCTTGAGGAATATATTATAGCTTCGAGACTGGCTGAATTACGAAAGTCTATGCCACACAAAAAAAAATGCAGCCAGATATACCCCTTTCTGGAGAGGCGAAGCAGGAAGAATAGAGACAAAGAGCGATTCAAAGACAAAGATATATGATATATACAGTATTGTGCGAATTAATGGAATCACTGTGATTTTTCTTTCATTTTTTCAATATTCACAGTTGGCAACACTACCTACACAGTTGACAGCTGACCAAGCATTGAAAACATAACCTTACTGTGTGTTTGAGTGTGTTTTAGGTCATTTCTTACCAAGCTTGTGTTGTTTTATGGGGTTTTGTACTATTTTGTGTTGTTTTTGGTTTTATTCCAACATGGATATTACGCCTAGGAAGCGTGAAAAGATTGTCACGTTGGGTGAACACACTAGTATGTCACAAAGAGAGATTGCTAGAACGTGTGGAGTGAGTCAGGGGGTAGTAAGCAAAATTTTGAAGCGTAAACGAGAAACGGGATCGGTGGATGTGAAAAGGTTAGGAAAATGTGGAAGAAAGAGAAAAACAACACCAGCAGATGATAGATTTTTACTTCGAAAGAGCAAATTGGACCCAAGAAAATCAAGCCAAGACCTACAACAAGATCTAGCAGCATCAGCTATAGTGATTCATGACTCAACTGTTCGTAGAAGACTTTTGGAGAATGGTAGAAGGGCAATTCGTCTACAGAAAAAACAGCTTCTAATCGAATGAATGAAGAAACAAAGGCTATTGTGGGCCAAAAAATACTCTAATTGGACTGTAGGCGACTGGAAAAAAGTCCTATTTACAGATGAAACCCACTTTATAGTTCAGGGACAGCGGTCGAAATTCGCCAGGAAGTCTGACAATGAAAAGCTTACACCATCTCATATTGATCAAACCGTAAAACATCCAGTCAAGAAAATGTTTTGGGGATGTTTTTCATACATGGGGGTTGGATATTTAGTGCCAATTGAAGGCATGATGAAAAGCCAAAAATACAAATCCATGTTGGAAAAGTATTTGGACAAACAACTCCAAAAATGTCAACCCCAAGGAGGAGCGATTCTTCAACAGGACTCTGCTCCCTGTCACAAATCAAAGGAAATGTTGGCATTTTTCAAAAATAAGAAGATTAATGTTTTAGATTGGCCCGGTAATTCGCCCGACCTCAACCCCATTGAAAATTTATGGGCCATTTTCAAAGCTAGACTGCATGAAGAATGATGTGTCTTTTGCCTTCGCTATCTGTGTGTTTTATTGATTTTATGCTGTCGTCTTGTCAAATTCTTTTAATTCCGCCTTTTGCAAATATCCATGTTTCATATAAGTATACGAATGTTGCATTTTCAGATTTAAGTCTAGTATATTCTCTCAAAAAATTTAATTCTTTTGTGAACCACACTAATCCTTTCGCAAACAAGTAACCTATTATTTTCTTTTTTGAATTCAAATCCTAAATCTCAAAGGCTAGTCCTCTTAATTTCAGAAACTTGTTTTTCTCTTATTTTGGCCAGTAAAGTATCTAAACTGACATGTTGATTGTTTTCACGCATTCGATACAAAATATTGCGAATTTCAAATTTTTCTCCATCAGATAAGTCAATGCTCCTAGAATGTTTACTAGTTGTTTTCTTGTCTTCGTGATAGTCACAGTAAGATCTTCTTGAGAATCTCTGACAGTCTTCATTACAGTTTTTAGCTTACTTTCACTTATCTGAAGTGCATCACAAATGCGTTGATTTATACATAATAATGACTTCAAATGTCCACCATTGTCTCTTGCCATGATGTATGCCCATTTGCAATTAATTCATCAATATCCAACTTACGCCTAGGTATGACAGAAACTTTCTAACTGTAGTGCTTGAGAGATAAAATATAACCGCTTACAAAGATCCTAAATACATTAAGCAAATTAACCTAACGATAATTATGAATGCCGATTGTGTTTCGAATGAAAAAGAAAAAGCTAATTGTTGCCAATTAAAAGGGAAAAAGCCTGAGATGGTGAAGCCAATATTAGAAATTATGTAAGAAGATTTGTGGTTAAATAAAATTGTTAAACAACGGGAAATGTAACCAATACAAAAGAAAATATAAAATTTACTTGAAGCACTACAATAGAATAGGCTTAGCTCAAGAGAATGAGAGTTGTGCTCAGAGAGGAGGTTGGCACGTTTGCTTGCCTGTAGTAACCTAAGGTTAAATCAATCCTAAGATGATCTTGAGATGGGCGCCAGGGTGAATTTTGAATATCCCTCCAATTTGGGATATATGTAGTTATATACTAACTGAAAAATAAAAGGAAACTGATAGGAAACAAATAAAAATCTGAAATGCTTTATACACTATATTATATTCTTAAGGTACTATCCCAACCCTATATTTAATTACACTAAGCAATTACTAAAATATATCCCCAAAATATATATTTACAAGAAAAACAGTTACCTAAAAAATATGACCCAAAATATAATTATATACAAAAAAAAAGATCTAAACAGTCCTCTAACAATAAGGTAAAAGGGTATATTCATACTGTTTGAATAACTCACATGGAGTTAATAGTACTTAAAATATCACAAAAAAAATAAATCAATTATACCAGCTAGTAAAAAGCAGTTTAAAAAAATATGACAATAGTCAGTTAAGCAATAGGGAACTTGCACATTTTTTTTAATATATAATAACGTTCAGTTTCATTTAAAAATAAGATTTCCAAAATTTCACGCCTCAAAAACTCATAATGACTTAGCAATACAAATTTAAAATCTTCCGTGTATAAAAATCATTTCAAACGATCGAAAAAGCGCGCGAACCCTTGTGACGTCACTTGGTGGTATTGTCTGTATGTCAGGTCTCCTGTCTTGTATAAAAGTATAAACTATTTTGTTTATATTGGTGTTTGATACAGTTTTTGAATAGAGAGTGTTGAATTGTGTGTGTTTTTACTATGGAAAGTAAAAGTAAATACTACAAGTGTTGTTTAGTACCATTGTGTAAAAGTACAACCATTAAAACCCCCAACAAAATATTTATTAGATTACCAGTACAGTACAGATCATGTTATTGCTTTTTACTTGAACCCATCCTACAGCTGCATCTCCATATGATTCTCTGCCAGATCTAAATGCAAACGATGAATAAGTTAATTTGATTAAATTTCAGTACAATAGCATAAACATATAATATAAAGTACTAAGTTTTATCATTAAATACTTATTATGAGAATAATAATCACAATAAAATTAATGTAATAGGAGTATATGTACTTACTTATCTGCTTTAACTGCCCGAACTTCTCCCAGGAAAAAATTTACACCGTTTTGAAAATATGTGGCTACCATAAACATATTTACAATGGGCAAGTTATCAGACTGGCCTTTGGAAAAACCCTCTTCGGTCATTTAAAAAAATATATCTGAACAAAAACACTCAAATATTATTAAATATATAGTTCACAGCAACTATCTAAAGATTTATAAAACTGAAATACACCATAAAATTACTATAACAAGTAAACGAATGTTAAACGTAATGAATTAATAGTGCCAATCTTTGAACATTCTGACTATATGACGTCACGACCAATGAGGACGCGTTTTGGACTGGCTGCTATAATTTGAATTTTCTCTCGATTTTAATCGTTTTTAGGGGCCAAACTAAAGACAAAAACAACTTTTTTTGTTTGATATATATTTTAAATTATGTTTTGTTATGATTTAAGGCATTTTTTTTCGAATTTAAAATTTTATGCAAGTTCCCTATTGGAACAATACCACCTCAATTTGATATGTGAAGGTACATACAAATGACCATAAAATTGGATAATATATCCTGACAACTTATTATAAGTGTTCTATAAAATATTAATAAATAAAGAAATGCAAAGTAACTATGAAATAATATAATTCAGACAAGTAAAAGGATTCAGCAAGGCGAGGGTACTACCAGAGATTGTGCACAAACCTGTTTCGTAACCCACTTAGGCTGAAGGCCTAAGTATACGAGGATATAGATATATGTTATATAAAAAAAACAGTTTTAAATTGTTATTAAATTTCACATTAATGGTACTTAATAACCCTATGGGATGATTGCTGCGAAGAGGTTTCCTTCATCAGCTGTCTGATGTCCAGGTAGAGGATGGGCTCTGAGATGGCTCAGCCTATGTTTGTGGTAGCAGCCTGGCAGACCAACCAGAAAATTGAAAATAAAGATTGCTTCTTTTCCCCAACTCAACGTTCAATTCTTCCCCAAATCCCAAGTACTTCCAAAAAGATTAAAAATTATTCTTTCCAAAATCCAAAAATAAAAAGTTTCAATACTTCAAGTTGGAGCCGGCAGGCTACAAGAGAACAAAAAACCTTTTTATTCTGTGTTCTTGTACTTAATATAGTTTTTGTTCTAGTAACAAAAACTAGAATATAGTTGTCATTAAGTGATCTTGGCTCATTAGTATATTCCCAAAACAAAATTCCATTCCCACCATCTAAGCTCCTAAACTTATTAGGCAACAGACTTCCTGATGAGTATTTCGATACTCTAAAAGAAACTCTCATCAAAATATTAAAGTCAATAAACTGTAAAGCCAAAACCGCTGAATCCAGAGCCGTTCCCAACAATTCGCATATTTAGAACCTTTTCTGTGAGCAGTGCAGCATGTAGAAAGACAAAACGTCTCACTCTTTCCCCTCTCCTACATTCTTCTTCTAAACACTATTGACTTAACAACACAAAACTCATCTCTTTCTCAAGTTCCTTTTTTATTTCACTGGCAGGATTTCTATGTTTCAGAACTCCGAAAATACTTAACAGACAACGTACAGTCAAATAAAAATTGCCTTTGAACGACCTTATTACGAATTTTATTACATTACTGACAAATAACTATCATATATATTACAAGAGTAACCAAACAGGCTTAACAGTATTTTAGATTATTTTATTTTCTTTAAAATTGTGTTTTAAAGAAATCAGATAATTGTATATACAATTAAGGTTATGTAATATTCATTTTTATTTAATATGAATTCATTGTGTGGAAGTAACTAACCATTTAAAAGAAGAAAGGTTTATTACAATACATACTCTAATTATTGTTTTTTTTTTTCGATGGTTCTATATGAAAGATAAATAAAAAAATATACTGGATGGTAAAATAATGTCACAACTCTATGAAATTGTCTATTATTGAATGTTTATTTTGAGATTTAAACTGAAAACTTGCTAATAAGTGGCTTATTATGACATTTTACTAGAAATTTATCAAAATTTGGAAAATAGCAGGTGATAATGAGACAAGTTGGTACGTTCGTTTTGTCGGTATTTTATGTTTTTGAAGCATCATTATTTGTGTCGAAATGATCGCACACGCTGTATAAATCAATTGTTTGATGATATTTTAAAATAAAAAGATATTTAGATGATACAAGTATATTAATGGTCGAATACCTATGGAAATGCAATTAATTTGTCGATAAGACATAATATGTGTATAGTTTTTTGTATTTATTTAAATCTCTGTCAAATTGTAAATTAATTTTTTGAACAACTATATACTTCATCTAATTTACATACCGATGCACGTCATTATCTACGTCAGAGATCGAAGTTGACATAGTTGCCAAAGTATAAAAAAATTCTGACTCCATTTTAAATCAAATAAATCAAATTATTACCATCTCTTTACAACGATTATTTAAATTCTTACGTGACATTTTTTAAATAAAACACACTAATTTTGTTATAAAAAGAACAGATTTTATTAAATAGATACAAATTAAATGAAACATATTATTGTGTATTTTTTTAAGTTAACATTAGTAGAAATTTTTAAATATTATTTCTACGCGTATATAATAAAATATGTCAAATGGCTGTAATGCCAGTGTACTCGGCAAAGTGATTCTAAAAAAGAACACACCTATCGCCTAAATATTTCGTGTTGGTATCATGTGAAGTCTCGGGCTATGACGCCGATGGCGTGCATAGGTATGTAAATTAGATGAAGTGTATATTTGTTTTGGTGCAATAGTTACAAGCTTAACTCAATACTTTATACTGTTAACTAATATTTTGGAAATGTCCAAATCCGAACTCACAATTGCTTATGTACGTATGGGTCTAGTATTGATGTTTTATGAATAAAAATGCTGCGTATCTATCTGAATTTAAAATTGCTTAAGCCTAAGTTAAAGCTATCATTATTTTAGTACTTAGAGGAGCGTTAAACGGACCCCCTCCAGAATTGTGGAACTCTCTTCTGCAAATGGCAGGTCAGATAAGGGATCGCCATAGAGCAGCAACTAGTACACCAAGTACCGCGGCTACAACATCTTCAGAATCAAGTCAAGCGCAGTCTGGAGCTGGACAAGGAACAACCCCTAACAGCGGGCAGAATTCTCAAGCACGTGGAAGTACTCAAACAAACCCGACCACTTCTACTCATACCAGATCCACTTCACGGCCACACGTTCATTTGGCCCAACAGGCCATGCAAGGTATACGTAAGTTGGTCTTTACTATCTTATAATACATATCTGTAAAATTAGAAAATATAGTACAGTAGACTCGCGATTATCTGAGGTAATTGGGACCGTGACTACCTCGGATACCGAAAAAACTCGGTTAACACTGAGATTGGTCATTGGAAAAAACTTGTAAAAGTAGTATAAAAGATAAAAAATTTACCTTATAAATGTTACTGTTTAAAAAAATCTTTGATGATTTTTGTTTCAACTTCATTCCTCTTTTTGAGGCGACGATGTTGCGCCAACATTGAAAATGGAGGACGTCTAATGGTGTCGATTTGTCTTGTTGCTCGATATATGCGAGAGCTGCATCAAGGTACTTCAATCCATCGGAATGAGAAACTTTTTGAGTTATCTCATCTGTATCTTCTTCATGGGTGACGTTTAGAACTAGATTGGCAATTACATCATCTGTCAGTTCCATTTCTTCATCTAGATTCATCCAATCGATGATCTCTTGGTTTCCGATTGTTTGTTCTACTGGTAATTGATTGGCTAGGTTGGCTATAGAATCAACTTCACAGTCATCAGTTTCATTCTGAAGGTCTATGTTGTCTATCTTAAATAATTTTTTCCACAACTTCTGAATAGTGGACACTTTTACGTCGTCCCAAGCTAATGCAATCCAATAGCAAACATCTTTAAACGTGATCTTCTTCAATGCATCAATTACAGTCAGCCCTTCATCCAGCTTAGTTAGCAGTACCTGAAGAAGCTTCCGCCGATAATTCCTCTTCATTGCTTCTATAACGCATTGGTCTAGGGATAACACAGCTTGTATGTCACCACTAATCAATTCACTCGCATCTGGTTGGGATCGTGCGTTGTCCAACAACAAAGCTCTCCGGGGCAAATTTTTGTTTATTAGGTAAGCATCAATGACTGGCAAGAAGTCATTAGAAAACCAGTCTTTAAAAGCATTACAGTCCATCCATGTATTGCGTTCGTTGCTATAGATTGTAGATAAGCAATTTATTTGGACATTTTTGAATGCCCTTGGATTTCTGAATTTTCCAATTAAAAGAATTTTTAATTTTAATGAACCAGAAGCATTGTTACAAATCATGATTGTGACTCTCTCTACTTTTTTTGTAACCTGGTACAGTTCCTTCATTTTTATCAGCTAGTGTTTTCGATGTAACTGGACATGGAAGAGTCCGAACCAAAGAACAAAAAATGAGATTGATTTCATAATATCAAATCGGAAAGATATTGTTCAGGATGTAACAGTATTGAATAAATTTTGAACAGGGAGTGACCATTGACTAATTAGAGCAAAAACCACTTTTAACACTGAAGTTGAAAGAACAAAAATGATCCTCAAAAAGAAAAGTGGAAGGTGGATGTTCCCAGAAGATATTTACGAAGAAAATATTAAGACTAGTTTGGATACACACGACTTAGAGAATATCAGTATCAATGAAATGAACAATAAGATTACTCAGATATTGAAAGAAGCTGAAGAGAAATACTGTCCTCGTCCTGAAAACAATAACAAAAAATTAAGCCACAAAACATCTTCTAGAGGAAAGAAGAAAACTTAGGGAAAATCAGGTCATAACCAAAATGAACTAAGAATTTTGAATAAGTTAATTAAAAGGAAGTTAGGAAAGATCTGAGACGATACAATACGATGGAAATAACTAGAATAATAGAAGAAAACAAAAGCTTGAAAGTACTCAGACGGAGCATGTCTATTGGAAGAAAAAACGTCCACAAATTAAGAAATCAACAGGGACAAATCATTGAGGATAGAGTTCAAATTATGAACACGATAGAGAGTTTTTATAGACAACCATACAAAGAACAGCAATGTAACCGGAGTGGATCATTCTTCTTCTTCGCGTGCCATATGAGATTTATCCGACGTTGGCGATCACCATTGCGAAGGCTTCTCGATCTTCTGCAATATGGAATAATTGTCCTGCATTTGGTATCTGAGTCCATTCACGAATGTTTTTTTAACCAAGACACTTGTTTTCTTCCTACACCTCTACGGCCCTCTATTTTGCCTTTAAGGATCAGTTGTAAAATTTTATATTTTATATAGTGGATCATTATCAAAGATAATTAATCAGGGATCTGAAATTTTACCGGACGTAACACCCAATGAAGTTCGAAGGTCAGGGCAAGAAATGAAAAACAATAAGTCCCCCGGAGGCAATGAAATAGTGGCAGATGCCTTGAAAGTGGCTGGAAAAAGATCCTTGCCAAACTATTCACTAGATGTTTGCAGGAAGCAATAACACCAACCCAGTGGTATAAGGCAGATATTATCATACTTCATAAAAAAGGGGATGCTACCGACCTCAGGAATTACATGCCCATAAATCTACTTTCACAAATTTATAAACTATTTACAAAAATAATTACGAAACGACTAGAAAATAAATTGGAATTTTATCAGCCCATAGAACAGGCGGACAGGAACCACTAGCTTTAACGTTTGTCGACTATGAAAAGGCATTCGACACCGTAAATCAACAAAAAATGTTGGAAGCATTGACAGAATGCCGGATTGACTATCGGTATATAAATATAATTAAACACATATACCAAAACGCAACAGCCAGTGCAGAGTGGGTGATCGTCAAACCCAGAAATTCCCGATACAACGTGGCGTACGCCAGGGGGACACCATATCGGCGAAACTGTCCACTGCGCTTTTGTAGAATATATGTAAAAGGGCAAAACTGACCGACAAGGGCATAAACATACCCGGAGAAAAGCTTAGCCATCTAAGGTTTGCAGATGATATTGTACTAATAGCTGATAGGATAGATGAGGCCAAAGAACTTTTAAATCAGCTCTACCTTTCCTCGCTAGAAGGGGGATTGAAAATAAATATATCTAAAACCCAGATGATGACAAATCTTGTAGTCAGCGAAGATATATGCGTAGGAACAAGATCCATACACCAGGTAATGGCCTATAAATATCTAGGTCCGCATAGGAAAAGATAACCAAACCGTTGAGCTTTTCCGTTGTATAAGACTGACTTGGGCAGCCTTCGGCAAGCTGAACCATATTTTCAAATCGTCTGAAATACCAATATGCCTTAAAAGAAAAACCTTTAATCAGTGTGTTTTGCCAGTGTTGACTTACGGTCATGTATGTCCAGCAGTGGATAAGCGAAGATTAAATGATGATGACACAAAGATTCAACGCATGATAAAAGCCAGAAGGAATTAAGAAAGAAAACATATTTTCAATAGCATCTACATACCTGAAAAAGCTGAACTGTGAGCATCTATTTGTTTTATTTTTCTTGTGTATAGGTATAAATGTCGATCTAAGCCAGTCTTCTGGGAAGATTCCAGTGGTATATATTTCGTTAAATAATAGTGTTAACGTCTGAAGATTTTCTTCATTGATAAGCTTTATTATCTCTACATATATTTCATCTGGACCTGAGGCTTTTCGTGGCTTTGCCGTATTGATTGTTTTTGTAACTTCAGATGTTAATATATCAAGTAATATTTCTTGTATTATATTCATTTGTGGTTCTGTTCTCTCGTCATCAAACAGATCTTTGACGTATTTTTCCCACGTATCTCCTACATTTTCTGGACTGATACTATTTGGTTGTTATCATCTACTAAAGTTGTTGTAGTGTTTTTTTTCTTCATATTTGTGACTTCTTTAATCTTTTTGTACGCATTAAAGTAGTCATGAATTTTTAGTAAATCACCAAGTTCCTCACAGTTGCTGCTCATCCATTCTTCTTTGGCTTTCCTAATTTTGTTTCGGATGATTCCGAAATCCTTTCAGGATCCTTTCAGGATTTCGGAATCATCCTTTCGGATGACTGCGAAATATACCTTTTCAAAATCTAGAAAACATAAGTACATGTCCTGATTAGTATCCATGTATCTCTTGACCAGCACATACAAGCCGAATAAAGCATCTTTTGTGCTCGTACCATTTCTAAAGGCAAATTGTATGTAACTAATATTATATTCAAGAGTTTTAACAATTCAGCTGTGTATTATTTTCAAAAATGTTTTTAAGTGTGTGACTCATTAAAGTTATATTTCTGCGATCTGGTAGGATGCTGCACTTGACTTTTTGGGTATTGCCACACAGATAGATTTGCACCATTGTCTGGGGATTGTGGCAGTCTGATATATTAGATTAAAGAGTTCAACCATTACATCAATGAGTTTTTAATAATTCGATGGGCACATCATCTGGTCCAGTAGCTTTGCCCCTCTTTTGTGTTTTTGATGGCATAGATGACTTCTTCCTTCAAATATATGGCCTTGTGCCTAATTTTTTATTTAACAAAATCTGAAAAAAATTTAAAATTTTTCGTTCATATTTTCGCGTATAACTCGAGAGATATTCATCGTACGAAAAAATTTATATAAGGTAAAAGTTTCCTTGTTCAATAAATAAACAATAATAATTAAAATATTTCAATTTCCTCTCGCACTAAAGTAAAGATCTACGATCAGCACGACATGCCTTCTTCCTTCTGTGTCGTATCTCCTGCGCCTGTCAGTTTTTTAGTTAACTTCATTAAAAATTCAGTGTTCATGCAAATATGTAAGTACCTGATTCCTTTAATACAGAAAAGTCGACAGTTTTTTGTGCCAATGATTCGTAAATGTCGGTCCGACAAATTACAGGGTTGCCAGATATAAAACTAAACTTTTTGCTTTACACATCTCATTATTTAGTTTTAAGAACACTTAATATGAACATTTGTGTATTTTGAGAAAATTTTATATGAACATTTATGTATTTTATTATTATTTCGAAAGGTCATTTGTTTGCAATTCCCATAGTGTTAGTTTTTATGTAAATCATAAAATAAAAATATTTATACCGGAAGTCTCATTTTAATTATTCTATTTTCAATTTTACTATATTATTGGTCGCTGGTCCTTCGAGATTTATATTTAATTTTTATCTACCAAATGTAGGAAGGTGAGAAATTAGTTTTACAAATATTTGCTTTTAAACTATTGAACCAGCTACTCTGCTGTAACATCCACAACTTCTGGAGCCTTACCAACTCAACCATTGCAAATAATTTCCCCAATTTAATCCAATTAAGACGACCCTTCATAATGTGAGGCTTAATATTGGAAGGAATTCCCCTATTTACCACTTAACATCCCGACCATCCAATGTGGGAGTAGCTACTCCTTAGGGGGTAAATATACTATAAATATATTCCTAAATAATGATATACATAGTAGATAGGAATAAAAAAAGTTAATAAACGTCGTTATATTTCTAGGTGGTTTCGATCCATTCCTACCATGCAGTTCACACCATATTGCAAGACGTAGAGTGAACATTGATCATCTTCCTCCACCCGCAACAAGTCAAACTACTGCTGCACCAAATGAACCCAATACAACAAATACTCGTCCCAGAACACCATGGGAGCAAGCCAATGATGAAATATATCCTGATTTTCTGTCTTTAGCTAACGCAGTTCATTCTTTTAGAAACAGGGCGTCAGAAAGAAGAGGTCCTGAAAATGAAGCGGGTACCTCCACGAGTTCTCCGTCGAGTGTTCCAAATGGTGATAGCATAGGATCCTTTGATTTACCTCAGATATCTTCAATATTTTCATTGACTGACTTGAATGGTTTGGTAAGATTTAATTATTTATTTATTTAATATTTAAACTAAAATTTATTTTTGTGAAAATAGAAAAGGAGCTACTGATAAACATGAGGAAATTTATAAAGAAAACAAGACATTTTTTACAATTAAGTGAAGTGAAGTTCATACCAGTTTTAGATCATCATCTTGGTGCTACAGCCCTTAGAGGGCCTCGACCTTCTCAAGCTTTCTACGCCATTCTGTTCTGTCCCTTGCTTGCATTTTCCAGTTGCCGACTGCGATCTTCTCCGCATCTTGTATTAATCCATCCATCCCCCTCAGCTTTGGTCTACCCCGTCTTCTCATTCCCACGGGTTGCGCTGTTAGAATCCTTTTTATCATGTTCGATTCAGGGGCCCGGGCTACATGTCCTGCCCACTGCAGGCGGTTTCGCTTAATTATAGTGGTAATATCTTTACCACCAAACGTATGCTTGTAGATATTCTGCAGTTCAAAGTTATATTTACGCCTTCTTAACTTCTGAGATTAGAATCGGTGGGCCTGTATCTCGGTTAGATGTTATTTCTTGGTAGATTCTTTGGTCATCGTTAAATAATTCTATTATGTAATTTTTCCATTCGGTACAGCGTTCTTTAATATCACTTAAAATTCTACCACCAGAATCTTGTATTCTCAATTCTCTCAATACTCTCTCTGAATCAGTTTCTCAATTTCTAAACAGGATTCTTGTAGCCATCGGTCTTTTGCTACTTTAATTCTTTTTCGGATTAAAGATCTAAGATGTGTTGCGTCATCTAGTCATTTTTAACTGTTGGTCGTCTTAGAAGATTTTCTCGAGATGCAGTGATTATTGTCGTTTTCATTTGTGCCAAGCAATCATCTATTTTGTTGGTATCTTCTAGTCTAATTTCGTGGAACTTGTCGTTAATTTCTTGAGAAAACTTATTTAGAATGCATGTCTTGGAGTGCATCTAGTGATATTTTGGAGGTTTTCTGATTTTTACAGACTCACTTTAGCTTATATAATATTACATTCGCTCTCCGTTAATATTTAACTTATATTCGGAAGTTATGAAAGAGGCACTGGACAATTAAACAGCTCGCGTTGTAGTAAACAGAATTACAATTAATAACTTAAGATATGCAGATAACACCGTATTAATGCCAGATAATATTGAATATTTGCAGGAAATAGTCCAAAAAGTTTACATTATGGCCTAAATATGCGCTTGGATAAAACCAAGTTTCTAATGTTTACCAAGAAACAAATAATAATGCCCAATTTATTATTGATGGCTAAAATAATGGACATTGCCCATTATGTTGCCCAATATATTTCTCACAATAAAATTAATCTGTCAAAATATTCCCAAGCTGAGCGGATGGACTAATATGAGAATGTTTTATTACAGGACACATCAAACGCCCGTAATCGACGTCAGGAATCAACTTTAGAAGAACTCATTCATCAATTTCAACATGACCCGTACGTCCCAGGAGAAAACCTTCTTGTTGACTTAATAATGCTCCTTGTGAGAAACCTTACACTCGTGTAAGTAATTTTGTTGTGTCATTGTAACATATAAGTCTAATATAATTGTTTTATCTTAGAGATATATTGTCACTATACGGTGGCAGTGTGGAACCGATAAACAGAAATGTTGGCGTGCTCAAAGCATTCTTCCGGACTAGAATTTGTGAGTCAGATACTACACCGCTCGGTATTGATAGAGGCATCGATAGGATTATAAGGGAATTGCAACCATTCTTAGAAAATTTCGTAAGTAAAGTATTTTTTTAAATAAAGAAATTGGTAGGAATATGAAGTTTGATTGATAATAATCTTCAGAGTAAACGATAAAAATAATTGTCCAAATTTTTTTAATGAATGATCAGAAAACAATGTTAAAATATAGGCTATTATGTTGAATGTAGAGCAGGGGTCGGCACCCTTTTTCGGACGGCGGGCCATTTTCAAAATAAAATTGTTTGTGCTTTCCACGCATTTAAATGTAAGTTATATTGTGCTTTTGTACCGTATACGAGTATAAATACAGTAGAACCTCGATAACTCAAACCTGAATAACTCAAACCTCAATAACAATGGGATAAGACCGAGAGATTCCCTGAGTCCTTTATTGTTCAACCTAATAATGGATGAAATAATAAAAAAAGTAAGAACAAAAAAAGGATACCAAATGGGAAAAAAACAACTTAAAATAATCTGCTATGCAGACAATGCAATACTACTCTCTCAAAGTGAAGATGATTTACAACGTATGCTGCACCAATTTAATATAACCGCCAGAAAATTTAACATGTTAATTTCCCCATCAAAGACAAAATGCATGGTTACTGCAGCAAATTTACTAAGATGTAAATTGGAGCTGGAAGGTCAGATAATAGAACAAGTGATGGAGTTTAAATATCTACGCATCACATTATCTAGCTACGGACAGCTCGAAACCGAAGTGGAAGGTCAAGTGAATAGAGCAAACAGCCGTAGGTTGCCTAAATAAAACAATATGGAGAACTAAAAATATCGGGAAAGAAATGAAAGGCAGAATTTACAAAACAGTCATCAGACCAATAATGACATAAGCGGCAGAAACAGGACCTGACACAGAGAGGATAAAAAGGATGTTAGAAACAGCAGAGATGAAAACACTTAGAAAAATTGATGGTAAGACACTATGGGACAGAGTTAGAAGTACAGATATACGACAAAGATGCAAGGTGAAGAACATCAAAAACTGTGTAAGAAATAGAAAAGTAGAATGGAACGAGCATATCAGCCGAATGACAACAAATAGAGTCGTAAAGACGGCAAGAGACGGCAAGAAGAAGCATTATGTTGCCCACAAGATCGAGGCCAAGTATCAATTTTAAACCGTCAATTTTAAAAACTGGAAATCGACGGTATCAGCATTGAGCAAGTAATGGAGACAAATTACCTAGGAATTACACTGTCTAGCTACGGAGATGTGGAGAAGGAAGTGAAAAATCAAGTACAAAAGGCTAATAAAATAGCAGGTTGTCTTAATAACACGATATGGCGCAATCCCCACATTAATACAGACGTGAAATCAAGAATCTACAAAGCAACAATAAGACCAATAATGACATACACTTCAGAGACAAGACCGGATACCTCCAAAACTCAGCAACTACTAGAAACAGCGGAGATGCGTTTACTGAGGGGAATTACAGGAAACACACTGAGGGATCGAATGAGGAGTGAAGAGATCAGAAGAAAATGCAATATACCAGAAATAAATGAGTGGACACTGAACAGAAAAAAGCAATGGAACGAACACATAAACGGAATGGAAGAGACCCGATTAGTCAGAATAGCGAGGGACAAATCACCAAAAGGTAGAAGAAGTATCGGGCGACCACGCAATAGATGGAGTGATAACCTCCAATAGAGGCATTAATCGACATTGAACAAGCATTTTTCTTATAAAAAAGAAGAAGAAGAATTTTAAAAACAGCCTATAGACCCTGATCGACAGGCGAGTAAAACCGCGGTTTTATGGATCGTCGGTAAAGCTCGTCAGTGTATCATTGGAATACCGCGGTTTTATATACCTACGAGCCTGGCTCGCGTCTCGTCAGTTTGTTTTATTTTTACTTGGCTCTTCGTTTAAAACCGCGCGTGTATCACGGGTGGCGAACCAAACCGGCAGTTTTTGGCGACCGTTGAAGTGAACAGACGTAGTATGGTATAGCCAGGTAACACAAAATTTCAGTTAAACACGACATGTTGGCTGTGGACGGTTGACACGACTGTTTTGCTCGATAGTCGATCAGCATTAAGGAACCGCGAGTAAAACCGTCGTTCTTAAAACCGCGGTATTATGACTCGTTCGTCGATCACCCACTTATAACAATTTTGATTGGATTTTCGCACAATTTTTTTAAAAAACGCTTTTTTGAAAACGATTTCCGGAGTGCTAATCGAAACATTAAACAGTAGTTAAAAGTATAATTTTCATTACAATCAATTGTGGCTTAATCCCATATAAATGTAGTATTTAATTCTTGAAAGGGTTGCCACCTCGTTTATAGTGATTACTCTAAATTCTAAATTCATTAACTTACGACTAAAACATAACCATCCCTCTTGAGACCATAATCGATGTGTTTCGGGTTTCCCGTAAAAACTTCATGACTTTCTTAAACATTTTAGGTCTTTGGTTTGTGAAAATCTGATGTTTTAAAATAATTACCTATTTTTAGAGAAGCTTGCCGGCTCAAAACAATATAGACATGGTTAGATCGGCGGAACAGTTATTCAGACAGAGACTACCAAATATAATTTATATTGGAATTAATTTAAACAGTGGCGCCACACGTTTGTTAATGGACCAGTGCATAACGACAGCAAAACAGCTTCTAGCTTTAACACTTCTCGCCAGTTCAACAGGTCGGAACGGAGTTGAACAAGTCTATGAGGAAATAATGGTGAGTTTAAAATTATTCATGTTTTATTTTTACATCCCCCTACCAAAGTGGTATGATAAGCCATTACAATTTATGTAATAGTTTATCATACCTCTTCAGTAATTAAAATCTTTCATTTTGTATCAAATATCTACTTAATATAATGTATTTGAGATCTTCTATTTTATTTGAAATGAAGCTAGTGTTATTCCATCAAGTTACTTTCTATTTAGTTTTGATTTATTTTCCACCCCATTGGAAATACGCCCAATTTCCCTTTTTTAATTCAAAGAATTTTTTTTGTCATATATTTTTATAGGTTATTTGTTTATCTTTTTGTAAGTTGGTCGCTTCAAACAGTTTCTCGGAGAAATTGGATGGGCTTTTCCAAGAAGCAAATATTCTGGCTATATCAGGTTCAATATTAATATGATTAGAGCAGAAAAAAGATTGTGATTACTAAACATCAGCTCAGTTTACTATAAACCAATGTGAACATTAAAATCCATGTGAAGATAGGCCTAGATGGCAACTTAGAAAAGCTATTCATTATTCAACACTCATTGGAAGCTCCTGAAGAATTATATAAAGTTGTAGAAAAATTACTAATAAAACCCAAGAAGCATCTTGGTATGATACACCAACTAAGGCGCAAAGAACTAAAGGCAATAATTATCCAAAAGAAATCAAGTAAAGGGATATTATACACGAAAAAAATAAAACTGCAATCTAACTGGCAAAAGATTAAAAACTCTGTAGATAAATATATTTTAAACAATACAGAAATTAAGCGTATTCAACCATATGAATCCATAGGGGAGTATAGCAGTGAATTAACTACTGAGAAAATAACTGATTACTTCCTGTGGAAAGCAACTAAATGGTTTAAAAAATCAATTATGCCCATTACTAATGGTGATGGAGAGCTCGCAGTGTTGTTTTCGCATGCGGTGGCCTCTATATAACCTAAGAAAACATTAGAAAGCGAGTTTGTGTATATACTAGAGGTGTGCTTATTAGTTCTTTTAGACGAACTAGTTCAACAGATCTATTTCACAAAAATGAAGTAGTTCAGTGAACTAGTTCGCGAAAGAACTATTTGTAGGACCGACATCGAAATCCAACCCTAACAGAACTGGTTGCCAGATGTCTCATCTCAATCATCACACAAGCTCGGCGCTGGCCGCCCGTTTACTTCGGTTGTTCGGTTTTCAGTCAGTCTTTCACTAGTTCACTACCGTACAAGTAGTTCGGAACTATTTCTTTCTTTCAGTCAGTCTTTCACTAGTTCACTACGGTACAAGTAGTTCGGAACTATTTCTTTCGATCGTATGTTTAGGTTTAAATGGTTTAAATTATTATATGATTAGTTAGTTTTTATTTGCAAAAAATTATTAAGATTTGTTTTTTATTAATCGTTTTAAATATAAATATGGTTCAAGTATGATTTATTTTTATATTTACGTATATTTAAACTAATAGGTATTTATAATTAGGTTATTTCTAAAAGAACCTTTACAAAAAAAATCAGTGAATTTTCTAGGAACATTAAATAACACAAGACTTTATGGTATTGTAACATTCATAAGAATTATGAATCTGTTATCTGAGGCTAATCGGCATTTTTTTTAAACTAGTTAATCCATCCATTCACAAAATAATAAATATATGTTCTAATTCATTCATTCATTATTTTCTTCTTTAGAAGTCGAGACATAATTTATAATGCAAATCGTTCGCAGTGAACTAGTTCTATGAAAATTAATGAACTAGTTAAATTAGTTCAGTTGAAAGAATCGTTCATTAGAACTATTTCGATGGTGAACTACACATCCCTAGTATATACATTCAGTCTAGAACTATAGTACATTTGAAAATGAATAATAGCACAAATTTTATTGCACGTGAGATAAAACCCAATATACCCGATATAATTTTCTAAAATAAAATATTCAGCATTGTTTTGAAAATGTTTGGGTTTTGCCTAAATTTTTAAACATACCAATTTATTTAAATTCTTGTCTTAAAATTTGTAGTCATTTTAATTAACAAATGATATAATTACATAATGTCTACAGGTACAAAATGTTTACAATTTCCAAAAAGGAAACCCTCAACTTTCTTAGAAAGGATAAAAATTTCCAAGCTGCAGAATGTGTTTTGAAGATTGTGAATAATTTGAGATAAGATTAACAGGTTGTGTTTGTAAAGTCCTGTGATTATAACATGCAGAATTGTTAGTTCCATAATAAAAAGCGATATTAATAAGTGATCTTGTGTAGTAAAAATGTCTCAAACTTCTAATTTTTCTCCTGTGAAATTAAAGTGTCATTTAACAGTGCTAATTGTTATATAGATTAATATAAAATAAAAGAATGTGTTGATATTTTTATTTTAATAATAACTCAAAAACGTGATACATAAAGATACATAATTAAAAATGTGGTTCCATTACAATCATAGATAAATAATATAATAGTAGAAATAGATAGGCAACTCAATGTATAAATTTCGTTCATTAGGCCTCTTGCGGCTGGGGTCAATACTAATAATCTTTTGGCGGCAAATTCGAATAAACACCCCTTACATTTACATACATACCCTTTAGCGCCTCTTGTGGGCTATTTCGTTACTAATTAAAAATTATTGGAAAATAAGGATATAAGATGCACAATTTTTTCTAGATATACGTATATTTATTTGTTGTTTAAGATAAAACAGTTATAAAATAATTACATAATATTTATTACACATATTTGCAGAAATTAAATACTATTATTTTTTGCTTTCTGACAACTTACTATCATTCTTTTTGTAATTTTTCCATGATTTGTACACAACGAACAATACAATAATTCACCATGTTTAGTTTTGTTACTAGCACAACACAAAAATTCTTTTAAAATTAAAAATAAAATTACTAAGAATAAATGCAAACGAAAGTTAAAGATAATAAAATAAAATTGAAAACTTGTAAACAAACGGAAGGTCTGTCATTAATTTGGATTGACAGAATTGACATTACTTCGTTTGATTATTTTATTTGGTTTATGATTGGTTAAAGTCTTGGTGAGAGAGATAGGCTGTCATTTCTCTTTATTAACTCGCTGGGGTCAAAGTGATGGGGGAATGAACCAAGTCATTCATATAAGATTCCAGGCCATGATTACAATCAATGACGTATAATATATAGACTACGCAGTCCCCTATTCTCGCTATAGAATAAAGTGTCCGAAAGATCTCGGCTCAAGGTTGAAGGTATGTTTATCACAACAGCGGCGTGCTCATTTATATGTTAATGACAATAATTATTTTTTTAATTAAAATTAAATATTTATGATTTCTTTTTGTTCCCGTCTATAAGAGAAATAATTATTTTGATAAAATAGTATGGCATTTTACTAAAATAGTAAGTAAATAACTCTCAACAATTTAAAATAAAATTTGCTTGTCACACAAAATGGAGAAAATGTTTTCATGCGTCCATGATGTTTTCAAACACAAGATCAACTTCGTGATGCTTCGTAAGAAATCATGAACTTCGTGCATCTTCGTATCAAAACAATAAACAATAACAAAGGTATTCATGTTTTGGACACTTTTTAAAGCGTTCACCGAGTCTATATATTATACGTCATTGATTACAATACTATATACCGTTGACATTGACACACGTCAGTCGCGCTGTCAACCATAGACAGGTTTGTCTCCCATTCACGACTATTTATTTAACACCCTCCCTCAAACCTGTTAGTATACAAAACTAAATTTAAACCCTCAAACCTAACTTATTTACAAAATAATTAAATTTCTCATAGCAGAGACTTTGTAAATATATCTCCAAGTTGCTCATTTGAACAAATATATTCAATCTTCATAATACCCTGTGCTACCAGATCCAAAACAAAATGTAATTTTACTTCAATGTGTTTACACCTTTTATTGTTTTCAAAGTTTTGTAGCAGTTTGATAGCACTTTGATTGTCTTCAAATATTGTGATTGGTAATAATAATTTAATTTCCAAATCTAACAGTAAGTTTTTTATATAAATTAATTCACATGAAGCTGCACATACTGCCACAAACTCAGATTCTGTACTTGATAAAGTTACCAAACTTTGCTTTTTGGAAGACCATGAGATTAGATTATTAAAAAGTTTAAAACAATATCCACTAATGGATTTTCTATCATTTATGTCATTAGCCCAATCAGCATCAGTATAACCAACTAAATCAAAACAAGAAGTATCTTCTAAATGATAAAAATACAACCTCAAATTAATAGTAGATTTCAAATATTTCAGTACTCTTAACAAATGCTTAAAATGTTTATTAGTAGCACTATCTTGAAATCTCCCAAAATAACTAATGCTGAAACAAATATCAGGTCTAGTACCCATCATTATATACATAAGACTACCTAACAGTTCTTTGTATGGTAAATTGGTACTAAGATTACAATCAGTATTTCTCAGTAAATTCAAATTCTTTTCAATTGGTGTTTTAAAATTTTTACTGTCTTCAACATTATATCGTTTTACAAGATTTTCAATTGCAGGTATTTGATCAAGAGTTATGATCCTATTTTCAAAATCTCTGTCAATTCTTATTCCCAAAAAGTTAAACTGACTGCTTATTTTATTCATTTTAAAAGATTCACACAATTTTGTTTTCAAATAATTCAAAAATACATCATTATTACAAGCCATCAAAATGTCATCTACATAAAGCAGCAAGTAACATCTTATATCCTTATTAATAAAACTATATAGACAGTAGTCTGTTTTTGAACGTTTAAAATTTAACAGTAGCATAAATTCATTAAATTTCTCATTCCATGCCTTTGGGGATTGCTTGAGACCATATATTGCCCTATTCAATAAACATACTTTATTTTGATCATTTTTCGAAACTCTAAGACCTTCAGGTATTTTCATAAAGGTTTTTTCTTTTAGAGAACTATTCAGGAAAGCATTTTTCACATCTAATTGTAACAATAGTAAATTATAATGATTACAGAT